TTCTTTCTTTCTTTCTTTCTTTCTTTCTTTCTTTCTTTCTTTCTTTCCCTCTTTTTCTTTCTTTCTTTGTTTTTTTTTGGTGAAGCAGTCAGGGTTAAGTGACTTGCCCAGAGTCACACAGCTAGTGAGTGTTATGTGCCTGAGGCCACATTTGAACTCAGGTCCTCGTGACTCCAAAGCCAGAGCTGTATCTGCGGCACCACCTAGCTGCCCCTATAATCCCTGTTTTCTGAAGAAAACTGAAATAGACTATGCTGAGAGGTAGGTTTTATGTTACAAAAGAGTCAGTCATTGTACTTCTTCACATAATATAGGTTGTACTTCCTACTTCTTTCTCATGTTCGATCTCTCCCCCAGACTGGGTCCTTCTCCATCTACAAATGCACTTTTAAATTTTTTTTATTTATTAGCAAGGCAATGGGGTGAACTGACTTGCCCAGGGACACACAGATAGTAAGTGTCAAGTGTCTGAGGCCAGATTTGAACTCAGGTCTTCCTGCATCCAGGGCCAGTGCTCTAATCACTGCTCCATCTAGCTGCCCCTAAAACTTCTTTTATTCTTTAGAACAAACACAACAGAACCAACCAAAAAAATAAAAAAACCACAACAACCAAAAACCACATTCCCTTGTCTTTGCCAATCTGTTATTATTGTCATCCTATATCTTTCCTCCCCTTCACAGCTACATGTGTTACCTTCATTACCTCTTCCCCACTCACTGCTTAGCCTCTTTGATCTGGGCTCTAGCCTCACCATTCTACTCCCCAATGACCTTTTAAGGATCAAATCGAATGGCCTTTCTCATTTTAGCCCTCCTTCTCCTTGACTTTTATGCAGGCTTTGATAATCTTGACCACCCCCACCCCCCCTTTCTTGATAGAATTTTCCTTTACATTGTTCTCTCTTGGTTTTCCTGATCTGATTGCTCTTCCTTCCCTGGTTCATCTTCCCTTAGTAGGGGCATCCCCCAAGTCTCTGTTCTCAGCCCTCTTCTCTCTCTAATCTACTTAAATTATCACTATGTAGGTTGTTTCAATATCTATATATCTAACTCCAGCCTCTCCCCGAGCTCTAAGATGCCTCATTTCCCTTCCTGTACTGGACTCTTTACTGCTACCAAACTGTTAATGAAATTTTCTAGGTCTAGGTTTCTCCTTCTAGGTCTCTCCTCTCGCATCACCACTGATTGATGTCTTCAGTTTCATGGCTTACCAGGTAGGCAAAAATTCGGCTTTCTCTGGCTGAGTCCAGTGGAGAGACAATTCAAGAGGGGGATGCTTAAAAAGTATTTCTAGTGTTATACCTCCTATCACCAAGACAACTGGAATCACATTAGCTCATCATTGAAAATACTTGATAATGATTTAGGTCACTGTCCCCAACTAATTTACTGTGGATCCTACTATTAATTACTATCTGAGAGAATAGGAAATTGCATTGCATCTGCAGGAGACTATTAAATATAGCAGATTGCATCTGGCTTGGTTGTCTGAAACATTAGGGTATGGGGACCCAGTTAGCTAAGGTGGGAATCGGGAGTTCTGGATTCAAATCCTGGTTCTCGAACTTATTAGCTGTATGATGTCAGCCAAGTTGTTTAATCTCCAGGGCCTCAATTTCCTTATTTTAAAAATGAGAATAAAAATATGTGCATTATCTTCCGCAGAGGATGGT